GCGAGGAAGCAGATGGTGTCAAGGCCTAGGCTTCTGCTCTCGTTATTCACTGAGTGGGAAGCTAACAGCTTGGCCTGGTCTTGAAAATGCTGAATTTTAGGGACTTTGATACATCCAGTGAAAAATGTGGAATAGGTTAGTTGATGTAACAGTTTGGAATTCAGAGGTGGGGTCTGGGCCCACTTTTCACCTTTCTCTGTTTAATTTTTCTTTTTGGTACGGGGGATTGAAGCCAGGGGTGCTTTATCTCTGAGCCACATCCCCAGTTCTTTTTAATCCCCAAGAAAGGAGCTCACTAAGTTGCTGAGGCTGGCCTCCAGCTTGTRATCCTCCTGACTCAGCCTCCCTAGTTGCTGGGATCGCAGGGATGTACCACCCTGCTTGCTGCACCCTTTCCGTGATCGACACCCACAGCCCTGTGGCTTTCTTGTTCCTCCTGAGACGCATCGTGGACTCTCCTGACCTATGCTGCAGGCTTGAATTGTTAGCAGACCCAAGTCCATGGACTTACTGCACAAAAGCTGATATTTGGGAGACTAACTGGTAATAAGGAAATTAAATTTATTTGAAGGTAGGCATCCTGAGAAAGTAGGGGCAGCCGTTGCCCCCCCCCAAAAAAAAACACTTTAGGGCATTTACGGGAAGGGGAGGGAGACTTCCTGCTGGGTGGGGTCTTCCTATCCCAGACGCATGGCCTCTTGGGGCTGGCTCCTGTAAGTATAGATGACCATTCCATTTTCCTACATGCCAAACTCTGCAGCGGTTTACGTGCTGTGTGTTAGTGACGCACAGGATTAAAGAATAAGTAGGGGTATTGCAATTCAATGTTATCTGAAGGTCACCAGATGTTCTGGGTCCCATCAATATAAACAAAGGTGGTCGTAGTTAATTTCTTAATCATTCAGGGCATCATTTTAAAGAAAATCCTAAAGAGGATTTTTAGAATACTTGGGAAAGGGAGGGGAAGTCAAAAGAAAACTTACAAAGGGTGAGGGACGTTGTTACAAACTCACCTCCATAAAAATTCTTAAAACCTTCTTGACCCCACACCCTCTTGCTAAGTTTAATTTTTGTGCCACCCCAAAATTTGACCCCACATCCCCTGTTTTAGTCTGAATTTGTGTCATCCCATGCAAATCCACATGTTGAAATTTAGCCTCCAAGTGAGGATATTGAGGTAGAACTCTGGGAGTTGATTAGGTCTTGACCCTTGTAAAAGAGGCCCCAGAGAGAGCTCATCTCTTCCATCGTGTGAAGACGTATCAAGAAGGCATTGTCAGCCTGGGCCTGGTGGTTCAGGCCTGTAATTCCAGTGACTTTGGAGGCTGAGACAGGAGGATCATAGGTTTGAGGCCAGCCTCAGCAACTTAGTAAGTCTTTGTTTCAAGTAAATAAATAAAAAGGACTGAGGATGTAGCTCAGTAGTAAGGTGCCCCTGGCTTTAATCCTAAGTACAAAATAAAAAAAAGAGAGAGAGGAAGAAGAAGGTGAAGGCAGTGCACTATGGCCAGAAAGAGGACCTTCACCAGACCCTGAATCTACGAGCACCTTAACCTTGGACTTCAGGCTCTATAACTTTGGGAAATAGATGTCTGTTGTTTATAAGCTTCCCAGTTGTGGCATTTTGTAATAGATGAACAGATGGAAACAGCTCTCTAGCTTCATTCCCCTTTTCCCTTTTCTCCCAAGCATTGTTCGTACTTCTCCAGGTTGCTGCTCCTGTAACGAGGCTCTTCAAGTGCAGTTCCTTGAGAACAGCTCTGGAGTAAGCTCCTCTACATCTTCATGCCTGTTGTTAGGGTTTAGGATGAGGTCTCCCCCAAAGGCTCAGGTGGGAGACAGTGCAGGAAAGCTTAAAGGTGGAATGATTGGGTGTGAGAGCCTTAACCTAGTTGGCTTCTCCCCTGATAGGGATTAATGGATGGTTTACCTGTAGGCAGGTAGGTCATGTGGGCGTGCCCCTGGGGTCATGTTTTGTCCTTGGTGATTGGAGCTCTCTGCTTCCTGCTTGCTATGCCCTGCTGCTCTCCTGCACCAGGCCCTCCGCCTTGCTAGTCCGCCTCACCTTAGGCCCGGGGCAATGGAGCAGCATCTCTGAACTGAGACCTCTGAAACTGTGAGCTCCAAATAAAGTTTTCCTTCTCTACATTGTTCATTTTATTTATTTATTCATTTATTTATTTTTAGTTGTCGTTGGACACGACACCTTTATTTTATTTATTCATTTTTATGTGGTGCTGAGGATCGAACCCAGGGCTTCTTCGCACATGCTAGGCGAGTGCTCTACCACTGAGCCACGTCCCCAGCCCTCTCAATGTGGTTCTTATCAGGTACTTTGATCCCAGTGGTGATAAAGCTGACTGTAACACTTGTGAATCTGAAGAGCTCACTACCTGCCCCAGGCTTATGCAGTGGGGGACAGGCAGAGTAACAGTGCTCTGGACGGGGAGAAGGGACGCACTGAGTCCCTGGTCCATAGCAATTTTGAAATCCAGCTRAGCAAATGTTAGAAGTTCCTAGATCACATCCCCAAACCTAGAAACGAGCTTTCGAGCCCTCTTCTCGGCCCCTGAACGTGTTTCTCCCCTCTGAATCATCCTGTTTCATGCAGGAAGTACAGCTCTGTGTTGGGGTACCCCAGGCTCGATGCCAGAGGGCTGTGGAGCCCAAGTTGTCTCCTTTCCTCTGATGCTATCTCTGCCTTTGGTTGAAGCTAGCGGTGTGTTTGCTCATAGAAGATTCTCAAAATGTTTGTGGGTCGTGAATCGCAACAGATGCACCCCATCAGACAGGAGCTACGTTTGCAGGGTCTTCTAGACAGGTCCTTAAGCTTGCTTTCTCCTTCTCTGGGTTTGGTTTCTTGTGCTCTTTTCATTTCTTGGAATGGAGAATTTGATCATTGATTTTTTTTTTTTGGCCTTCTTTTCTCTTATATACATTTAAATATAGAAAACTTCTCTCTGAATATGGCTGATTGGTTGATTAACCTTGTGGCCATGTGGCTGGCTGGCTGTGACTCATTGTTTCCCGTTATCACAGGGAACATTGTGCCTCAATTGCTAGTCGAGAAAAAATCAAAATTCAAAGTGCAGTTTCTACTGAAGGTGTTGTTTTTGCATCATTTTAAAGTTGGAAAAAAATCACAAGTTGAACAGTTGTAATTCAGGGCCCGTCTGTGTAAGATGCAAATAAACTTGAAATCATCATGTATTGACTCTTTTATTATTATGAAATATCCTGCTTCATCTTCATTAATGCTTCTTGCTTTTGAGTTTAATTCAATATTATAGCTTTACCTGGGCTTTCCTTTGGTTAGTGTCTGCATGGAAAATTATTTTCTCTTCTTTTATTTTTATATTCTATGTATCCTTATATTTAAGGTGTATCTCTTATAAGTATCACAGAGTTGAACTTTGTATTTTTATTGTATCTGAGAATTTGTTTTTTGACATGTTTAATAAACTTACATTTAGTTACTCRCATATAGTAACTGAAAGATTTGGGTTTCAATATTCCTAACACTTTGTCATTTTTCTTCATCTACATGTGAAATGTTCTTTGTCCCAAATTTCTCTTCACATGATCTTCTGTATTTTTCATTTGTATTTTTCTGTGTGTAATTTTCTACTGACTTGTTTTCTAGCACTCTAATTCTCTTCTCAGCTATGTTTAATCTTCTTTGAAAGTCATTTATTGAATTTTATTTGAAATAAGTTCTGTTTTTCTTTCTTCAGTGTGGTATAACTTAGGTATAGTACACAATCTTAAGTGTTTTTTTAGTCAGATGAATTGTTACAAATACACATATCTCTATCTCTATATCCAAAGAATTATCACCTAGATCAAGATTTTTAAGTTACTAGCATCCAGAAGCCTCCCTCATGTCCCTTGCATCTGATATTTACCTTAAAGATAACCGATTTTTAAACATCTCCATCACTGTGGATTAGTTTTATCTGTGATTGGATTTGCTATGACTATGCACTCTTTTGTATCTGGCTCTTTGCTCGACATTATGTCTAAGATTCATTCATGCTGTTCTCCATAGCAGTAGTTTTTTTTTTTTTTTTTTTTTTTTGTAGCTGTGTAACAACCCATTATATTAATGCATCACAGTTAGTTTATTGATTCTGCCATTGCTGGACATTCCGGTTGTTCCCACAGTGGTACCCTCTGGTGGCTTTTCCTTCTTGCCGTTATGTCCCGTGTGCCTGGTGACTTCTGATGGAGTGCTGAGCATTGTGATTGTAAGTCCTTGCAGCTCTGAATGCTGTTATCTTCCTCTAGGGAAAGTTTACTTTTGCTTACGACACTAGATGAGGAGCAGGTCATTTTGGTCAGAGCACTTCTGAAGTTGTCTGCAGGTCTGGTAAGGCCCTGTCTGTTTCTGGTCATCCCTGTTCATGAGTGCTCCTTGGTGCCCCTGAGCTCCACTTCCCCACAGCAGGGTGACAATGCCCACAGCTCTGCTTGGCCCTTTTCCAGGGATCGTGAGCCTCTGGGCTACTGTTTGTAAACCAGCCATCACCTTGGGAGAGAAGTGGTGCAGAGTTTGGGCTCCGTTTCATGCATTCCTCTTGTTCCTTAAGGTTCTCAGCTCTTGGCTGGGTAGGTAGCCTTGAGCTTCACGGTTTTCTCTCAGCCCTGTGAGTTGATGAAAGTCTGATTTACTTCTCTCATCCACAGTAGCCACTTTCTGTTGGCTTTTCATTCTCTCAAATACCTGAAGGGCATAGTAGCACTCAAGGTCAGGTTCACCTCAGTGCAGTTCCATTTTGCTGTGATCTCCATGTTTTATCAGTGTTTCCTGTTGTTTTGGGCAGGGAGTTTGATCAGATACCACCTGTTCCGTCATGCCAGAAGCAGACTCATGGAATAATTCCGGATCACTTGTTTCAGCCATGGTTTGCATTTCATAGAGCATTGGTGGATGGTTTCAGCATTTCATTATATTAGTAGCCTGTGAGGTAATTAGCAGAGTTATTTTCTTCATTTCACAGATGGGGGAACACTGAGGCTTGGCAGTTGACATGACTCACATATCACAGACCGTCTTACAAACCTTACCAACACTGGAATCCCCTTTCGCTGCACCTGACACCATCTAATGAAATCCAAACTGCTCAGGGAACAGGAACCAGCAGTCGCTGAAGAAGAGGACCTGGCGGTGGTGGTCCAGTCACTGGGTAAGAGGAAGGCCTCAGGGAAACTGAGTGGAGTTTGTGTCAACACACGCCCTGTGGATGCCATCATTTCAGCTCCAAGTCACTGGGAATCCCAGTAGCAGATAAACCTGCTGCCCTTGCAGCCGGTGGCGCCAGCATGTCGCCTTTGCGTGTAGGACCGTGAAGCAGAGCTGTGGCCACCAGCCTTGTTGAAGAGAGGCTCAGGGACCGGAGACCCTGGGGGTTGGAGGCAGCTTCTGGAATTCTCAAGTACAGAGGATCCCATTGGGGGGGACCGTGGGCCCTTCCTGGCTGACGAGAACACTCTGTGAACGGATGGCACAACAGAACACGGCTCCCCGCCTTTCCTGACGGAGGCGCTGAAGTCGAGAGGCCGAGGCTGTTCAGGGACCGGCCACCCGGAGATAGCGCCCCACCAGCCTCACTGGGACTGGGCCATGGCGGAAGGCAGCAAAGGGGAGGACCCCATGCCACGCTGTGGGGGAGGTGGCCTCCTCAGGGTGCTGTGAGGGCGAGCCTGGGGAGTGCAGCGGCCCTGCACTGTGGCCTGGAAGCATCTGAGGAAAGGAGGGGAGGGGGGACCCCGCACCCTGTGGCTACCCRACGCACCTGGGTTCCTTTGCTGTCTCTCTGCATCTGTGGCGATAGGACCTCATTCCAGGACAGGCGCCGTCAGGTCCCTGGTCCCTGGACCTCTCCAGGAGCTCTCCCAGCTGTGGGCTTCCTGGGATCTGTGCAGGATCTCTTGGGAAGCCTCCTTTGCCCTCAGCGCGTGGCACCACAACCCAGGTGCTGCGCCCCTCCCCGACTCAGGCAACGGCAAGGCCCTACTGAGGTGGATGGCGCCAGGCGTCCATCCTCTGGAGGAGCGCAGCATGTTTCTGGGAATGGCCTGGTTTGTTTCTGTATTCCTGTAATAAGTATAGTTGGGACTTCTCATATGACCATTAAGTTTGAAGGAAAAATACATGACTTTCCCAATTAATGCAACTACTTCTAAAGAATGGATCTGTTTGCTCTAAATGCAATGATTCAGCTGTGGAACGTAAATTGTTAATGTTTAATGAAAAACCCCCTGTAGGAAAAACAGTCAAGGAAGTTTTTGAGAAATTAAATTAAAATCCAGAGAAGAAGAATTAATGTTAAGAAGACAGATTAGTGCTCGGTACTGGGCAACTTGTTCTTGTTCCTGTGCACAATGGTTTGCGCTCTTACTCTTGTTTGATTAAAATTAGTAGCCTCTCTTTTCAAGTTAACCCCTTGCCATAACCGTGGCGCCGATTCTAGTCAGYAAGTCAAGAAAGAATAGTCAAGGTATAGGCCAATAGTCTGGGACATTTCTAACTATTATTAAAAGCTAACTAAGCAGAAACAGCTCAAAGCAAAACGCAAACTGAAAGTAAAAATGCTTGCTTATGCATAAGCCAAGATACATTCTTCTTATCTAATTGTACTACATAATATTTTGTTTCTTTGAATAATGATTCCTGTTTTGTAACCACAAAGCACTGTGAGCCTGCCAAAATGAAAAGTATATATGAAACCTCACAAGTAAAGATGGGGATTTGGCACCTTCACTCTTGTGTCTGTGTTGTTCCTCCACCCCCTTTCCCGACTCCTCACCATCCGGTGGGTCTCCTGAGACCCCCTGCCAGAGCCCAACACCCAGGGATCCCACGAGGGAGACCGGGAGATCGGGTGCCCCGTTGCTCTCGGCGGCCCTCTTCACACCCTTGCGAGACGCTGGGCCTGGCGGAGCCTAGAAGCTCCTCGGTGCTCTCTGTTGGCTCTGGCCTGGGACCTCCCTTCTGCAGCCTCACCACCTTGCACCTGGCCTCTGAGGTCAGGGGACACGTCCACCTTCCTTTGCACACCTCAGGCATCCTTTCTCCTAGGGCTTCATGGCCTCGTCAGTGGGGACCCTGGCCCTGGAATCCCTTTTCCCAGATCACCTCCTCACTCGGGCTGCCCAGATGCACACGTGGCAGCRCGAGCCCCGTGTGGTGAATTTGGAGACGGGGCCTTGAGCGGTGATTGAGGTTGCATGTGGTCACAGGGGTGGTCCCGCCCATGGGATGGTGACCAAGGAAGAGGAAGCAGCAGCAGATGCCTTCTCTGTGGACGTGGTGAGAAGGCGTCACCCGGGCACCTGGAGGGTGCCCACAGAAGCCAGCCCCAAGGCACACTGCCCCTGCACTAGAGCACAGAGGACACGCGCTGGGCCAGCACCGCCTGTGCTGCTCTCTGTGGGCAGCCTCTCGGCCAGCACTGACCGCCATCTGAGGCACGGGGCCTGTGCCCCACCAGTTGGGTAGTCCTCTCTCCTGGGTTGTTAAGGAGGCCTGGTCTCAAAGCACAGGGCGCCCCGCCCGACCTGCCAAGTCTGCACAAGCACAGAACCAGGACTTCCACTGTCACGCCCCTCCACGCCGCACACCCCCGCTACATAGTACACACCACACTGTGCATGTGTTGCACACACACTACTCATCCCCCACTCCATTACACACCCCATACACACCACACCACACACCAGTCATGCCACACCACACAGATCACCCATGGACTATACCACTCTCCATTTCCACCCACACCCACCGGAGCCACCTCCTCCCACAGGCAGGCCAACTGTGGCTTGTCCTGTGTCCTGGGTAGGTCAGGTGTGGGGATGGGTGACTCAGGGAGGCCTGGCCTGTCCTGCAGATGGCCCCTGCTCCCCTGGCTCACACCTCCCACTCAGAAGCGCTCGACTCCACAGGCCCCGGCAGAGTCCAGGAGACAGGGCGCCTGTCCTGGAGCACGGTGAGCTGAAGCGCTGGCCTGGCTGGCCTGTGTGTGGCCTGCTCTGGGAGCAGGGTCTTTGCAGGTAAAAGTAAGTTAGGATGAGGTCATGCAGGACAAGGGTGGGTGACATGAGCCGGCTGTGCCAGTGGAGACCAGACACGTCAGTCTTTCCGCAGTGTGAGAACTTGTTCAGTAACGATAAGTTAACAAGCTGCACTTTTACCAACTTTAATTCACAAAAAAGACTCACGGTCCACTTGGTGTCGTGACCAAGGCAATCACAGGTCTTCCATTCCATCCTGACCTGGTGACTGACGTCCACAGCACTCGGGCCTCACGTCCCACTTCACACAGCACACACATGTGGCTGAACAGGTGTGCATTCCTGCATGGCTAAGGAYGGGTTCAGGTGGCCTCAGGGCTTCAAGGGGCCTACCAGGAGCCAGGCAGAGAGAGACAAAGAGCCGCTGCAGGTGGTCATTCAGGACTCAGGAAGGACCAGCCCCAGGAGCTGAAGCAGCTCCTAAGTGGACCTCCTCAGGCAGGGGGATGTGCTGAAGCCCCAGGGACGGTCCGGAGTTCCCCACTGTGGTGACTGTGCTGGGCAGGGCTCATGACAAGTGACCGGGTGACAGGGTCAGGGGCCACCATGCCCAGCCTAGGAAGGCTCCTCCCTGACATGCCTCAGGCGCGGGTGCTGCGTCCTCAGGGGGTCTGCTGTGTCTGACAAGCTCGGGGCCTGGTTTCTCTGACATGGGCTGGAGACACCCGTGCGTCCATGTGCCTCTGGTTGACTCTGTGAGCTCACAGGTGGTCATTTTTTTTTAATCAGTGTGACTACTTTATCCATCAGTTTGGGCCTCACGACTGTGCTGTGCTTCGTGGTTATTCCTCCTAGTAAGCTCATGCCCAGCGCCTGGTGGTCCTCCACGTGTCCAGAAAAGGCACCAAGTCATTCTGCCTCGGCACTTGCACCCACAATGGGGTGGCCCAGGGCAAACTGCTGCTGCTTGATGGAAGGGGGGCCCAGGGTGGACAGCGCTGTCCACATAGCCTGGACTGGATACTGCTAGCAATTAGTGCATTTTTCCTTTGAAAGGAACCAGGGCAATTCTAAACGTCAGATGACCATGCCAGATGACCCTCTCCTCTGGGGACAGGCCCTGCCAGTGGGCAGCCAGCACAAGTGAAGGCCAACATTCTCTTGAACATGGTTAGTATCCTCCATGGTCACTAAGGCCCTAATGAGTCTGCTTAGCGTGGCCTGTGACAGGAGCCATGTGAGCTGGGGGCACCCGAGGATCAGCAGCCCAGGTCCCTCAGGCCTTGGCTCCAGGCCTTTCTGAGGGAGTGGTCTGCTGGGAGCTGGAGGTGGAAGTCTGGAGGGAAGGAGAAGTTTGTTAGGACTGACAGTTGCCAGAACTTAACAACCACTCAAGCTCTGATCAAAGGGCAGCCTCTCCCACTTTTGAATAATTCTAAACACTTTGTAAGAATGTGGACTCCACCTCCAGCCTCTGGCCATGTAGGCCAAAGGTGAAGCTAATGAGAAGCAACTTTTGGAAAGGCCCTGAGTGTGTGGGATGTGGTGCAGAGGGAGGGAGGGGGCCCTCCAAACAAACTAGGCCCCTGAGGAGCGCGGGAGGAGCCCACGCCAGCTTTCAGCTGGTTTAAACCTCGTCCAGGATGATATCATTAAGCTTGAGCCATAAACCATGGGCCTTTATACAGGCAGCCATCTGTCCACCCTCCCCAACCCCAATCTTGCAGCTTTTTCTGGAAAAATCCTAGCATCCAAAGGTCACCTTCATTATGAGGCCCAGGATCTCCAAGGTCCACCAGCCCCGGAACACTGACATCATCATGGGAGCTGGAACCCMCGGGCACGTGGCCCAGCCCATGAGACACTTCCATTATCTCTCTGGTCCCTAACCTAAAAGTCCAGGAGAGCAGGACAGCATCGTCCCTTTCACCCTGGAGCAGTGGCTGGTGCTCAGGACTTGGGTTAGCTTCCTGCAGCTGCCATGGCAAATTACCACTCAGTAGGTGGCTTAAAACAACAGAAATTTGTTCTGTCAGAGCTCTGGAAGCCAAGTCCAAACTCAAGGCAGAGGGAGTGAGTGTTGGACCAACTGGAGGCTCTGAGGAACGCTGGTCCCGGGCCTCTCTCCTGCTCCCAGGCTGCCAGCAGCCCTTGGCGCACCTCCGAAAAACCAGCCTCTACCTCAGAGCAAAGCCTGTCCAAGGAAGGGGGCGTGACCTTGTCCTTGGAAAGACCCACAGAGCACTCCTAGGCACATACCCACCCTGCTGAGTTGTTTATCTACAAATAACAAGAGAGATCTGTTGCGCCAGGTGTCCCTGACTCGGTCAGGCTAGGTGGGGACCCATAGCAACCCCCTAGCAGCCACCAATCAGCATGAGACAGGGAAATACCTGGGATGCCAGATGACCCCTCCCAGTAGTTTATGGTGGTTGATAACATGTTGGGAAACCACGTAGTTCAGCACGTACACCCCTAGTAGCTAAACCAATCAGTTCAAACGAATTCACCTACCCAACTTGTTCCCGCCAGTGAATGTGCTAATCATGTTTTAGAATTGTTTTATGATTTTCCTGCGGTGTGTGATGATTTGCTAAGAGATGCTATGATGTATGTGGAGTCCCTGCCTTCTCCAWAGAGKGTATAAAACTGCTGCTAACCCTGGGCTCAGGGCCTCTCTGCATCACCAGTTGCTGTGTGTGCACGCAGAGGACCGAGCTAGCTCGCAGTAAACACCTCTTTGCTGCTTACATGGATCTTGGTCTCTGGTGGTCTTTTGGGGGTTCCCAAATTTGAGCATAACACCTCCTGCCTCCCTCCAGCAACCTCTGCCACAGCCTCTCGGCCTCCTTCTCTTGAAAGGGTAAAGTTTCTAAGCTGCAAAGCCTGAGTTAAAATGTAAGGACTAGGTATTGTAAAGTTTCTGAACTGCACACAGAACCTGAAATTCCTGAGGCAGTTAAGACAACGCCCGGTACTGACCATTTAGTTGTTAAATAACCTGGACCCTGTGCAGTTTGGCATGTAGGCATTCAGGGCCCAAACCAATCAGTTTGAATGTACCCCCCTCCTTAGGACTGACCTATCACCCCCGCCTGACCTGTTCCCGCCAATGAATGGACTAATCATGTTTGAGANCTGCTCAACCCCTGCTCGGGGCTCTTGGCCGCTCTCC